CTCAAAAACGTGAGCAGCACGTATTGCTATTTCGTACCAATAAAGAGGTTTAGTTGCTTTCTCTAAAGAACAAACTTGCGTTCACGTATGATATTTTTTGTTTGTGTAAGACGATAAAACATGTCTTGAAAAATTCATTTCACCGGCTACCGACGCAAGTAGCGGGAGGGCGGGTTAGTGACCTCTGGGTGACCGGCCCGCCGTGACCCGGTCACTCCATCGCCGATCCAACTAAAAGAGCGCTGTTTGTACGCCGTGAGGGGTGTAAAAACACATAACCCTTTTAACAAAGATACAATTCGTAGATCTATGACTTTTAGGGAATCGCTGAATCATAGCGTTGGTGGGTTGTTTTTTTGGGTTGTTCTTTTTTGTCTGTCTTTTTTCGTTGGCTGAGACGGAAAGTTTAGCTCTGATTGTACTTGTTTTGACAAAACTTACAAACCTCGAACAACTGGGAAGAAGATAATGAAGGCCATGTGTGTGACCTCAAATATTTCACATGACAATAATGTATGCCTACTTTCTAACACTCTTCATGTATAAAAGTGCGGACCTTTCTCTCCACTACCAGTAGTGCTGCACTCGTTCTCATTCCAGCAAAGAGTCTATTCGTCTCGGCTATCCATAAGTAAGAACTTGTTCTTGTTTATTTCTTCACTTCAAGTATAATAATAATATGTGCTTTCCATCAACGTTCCATTTCTAAGAGAAATCTCGTTAAAAATGTTCTTTATTTGAGCCAGTAGAGTTGGTAAAAGCAGTTTCTCGGTGTTTTTGCTCGTTTTCTCAAATAAAAGCCCCAATGGAAAAACGTGTGTTATCTAAGTCTGGAATACTTGATGGTATCAATTCTAAAAGCTTGTGGAGTCATAACTGCATTTCTGTTCAGCTGTAGGTTAATTACTAATGTTCGACTCGTCATTCAACTAACAATAACGATGAACCGCTAGTTAAACAGAAATGAAGTTATGAGTACACAAGCTTCTACAATTGATACCCTCACGATTTCAAGATTGTGATAACACCCGTTTTCATTCTCTTTTGTTTTTTTTCTTTCTTTTTTGTGGAAAAGTGTTTGTGTGTGGGGGGGGGGGGGTCTTTGAACTCCTCAAAGGCATATTTTATGAAAATAAGGGTTAAAGACTCAAAAACTATTCAAGATAAAAGCGTTACATTATTTAAAGGGTAAGTGCACCATGAAGCGTTGAATATAATGACGTTAGTTTTTAATTGTATTTCACCAACCTTTTTTTTTTGTTTTTGTGATTTTTTACTACTTTGGCATTTAGCTAAGACTGTTTTCATCACTGGCTAACACGCAAATGATTTAATTGTCATCATTTATCATTTTAAGAAAAAAAATGCGTCATTTTGCTAAGATTTGTGCGCTATAAAATACAAATAATTTGTGATCATTTCACAGACAGCATTGGACATTTTTTGAGCTTTTAGGTTTCGAAAGCTGGTCCTTCAGAAAGCCTGGTTTCACTCTAATTTAATATTTCCATGATTGCGTCACCAAAAAATGAATCAGAAAACTGAATATTTTTCACCCTTGAATGGAATACTCTGGAAAAATGAGAGAAAAGGAGTGGAAATCACTCAAGTTTTAGATTGTGGTGCCGTAAAGTAAAGTATCGACCCACTCTTACTAACTCTCAATAAGTAAGGACTGCTTGCATACATTCAATTATTTGGGTTTGAAAGCCTTGTATGTACTCTATATAATTAATTAT